TTTTGCAGTCAGAAGTTGATCAAACATGCAATCAAGATGCATTGATAATAATGGGTGACTGGAACGCAAAAGTTGGGAACAGAGAAGAAGGTTCATTAGCTGGAAAATATGGGCTCGGTGAGAGAAATTAGGCTGGAGATAGAATGATAGAGTTCTGCACATTCAATGATTTATTCATTGCAAATACATTTTATAAGAAACATACGTGCAGGCTATACACATGGATCTCTTCAAGCCTTTGAAAAGCAAAAATGTCATTCTAAAAGCTGAAGTGTGTCTGTCCTGAGTCATGGAAAGTTGAACAATGGATAAGGAAGACAGAAGAAAAACGGATGCCTTTTAATTGTCCTATTGCTGCAGAATATTGATGGTATTCTGGAATGAAAAAAAAATGTTTTTTAATAAGTTCAGCCAAGGCAATCTCCTCCTGTGGCATTTATAGCCTCCAAAAACCCGCTTGAGGGTTAGCTGTGGTCTGTTCTGACTCAGAAGCAATGAGAGCAATCATGAAAGAAATACAGACAAATGAGACAAAAACCTTGTTACATTATTATTAACAATACATTGTTAAAATGTTTACAGCTGAGATTACTTTCTAACAAAGGACCATACCAGAATAAGAGAAAGAATGTATGAATGAACAGTTGAAAGGATTTATAACATAATGTCATTTTGAATATGAAGTTAGATATTGGGAAGTATGAACTCTACCCTTCCCTTAATATTCTTTACTTTTTTGACACATAATAGCCTTATAGAGAAGTTCCAGTAATTTTTAAGTGTTATTATGGACTATGTCCTTCTTCAAAAGATATTTACTTATGATGCCTGTGAATGTGACCATTTATTGGAGTTAAATTTTCTTTGGCTGTTACCGAGATCATCCTGTAGTAGTTGTTGTCATTGATTGCCTTCGAGTTAAGCACAACTCATAGTGACCCTATGAACAAACGGCCTGAAGCCCCTCTGCAACTATATCAACATTTATCAAAGTTCATAGAGTTTCTGGAGGCATGTGGTTTAGGAAGTGGATGCCACTCCTGCTAGTGGATCCTAAACTTAATCTCCCTGAATAGTATGTTATATGTTGTTGTTGTGTACCGTTGAATCGGAACAGACCCATAGTTGACCCTTTAGCGGGTTTTCAGAGGCAGTTAATGACACAGGAAGAGATTGTCCATCCTCCCGTGGAGCAGCTGGTGAATTCAGACTGCTTGTTTTTGGGTTTGTAGCACAGCTTCTTGCCATAAGACTACCAATCCTATATACGGAGTGAAATAGACACAGACACACACAACAAGAAAGATAACATATAAGAATCTGTATTGAAACCAGAGAAGATCAAGGAATGCCCATTACCACTTACACGAAATGACCTTCACCCAGAGATGATACTTTAGTCTGCACTTCTGGCCTCCACAACTAAGGCTATAAACAACCAGCCTCCATCCACTAGCCTCCCACTTGTGGTATTGTTTTTACTGTAGCACAGATAGACAAAGGAGCTTCTCAGTGGTGCCAGTGGTTAATGTCCTGCTTCTAACTAGAAGATTGGAGACCCCAGTCCGAACCATGGACAACCTAAAAACCTACTTTTATAATCAACCATTGAAAACTCTGTGTAGCACAATTTGATCCTGATACACCTGGGTCATCATGAATCAGAGTTTATTAACTTCATGGCAGCTGGAAGAAACCAAGATTTATACTAACTAATGAATGGCAAAAAAAACCCCACAATGTACTCACATGTTAACTGCATATGTTAAATTTTACAAATTCATAAATAACATATATGATGTGTTTTAAAAACATTTTTTAAAGTTACTAAGAATTATATAATGCTAACCTACATTATTGTTGCTTATAAATTTGTTTGTCCCAATCACAGTTTCTGAGACATGGCATTTATTGCCTTTTATTCTGCTGAGGTGCTTTTGTTTTTCATGTGAGTAACTCTTGCCTTTACAATATAAAGTCCTCAAAGACATAATATATCCAATTGGGATTTTTATATCTTTTTCATTTACATAGAAACCTAGCATGATAAATATTACAACAACTCAAAGATTATTTTTCCTCCACAGAGTTTCCCCCTCTTTTTAAAAATTCCAAACCAGGTATTACATACAATATAGGAAACATGAAAGGAATGATCATAAAATTCTGTAACGGTTGTTAAAATTCTAGGAAATGTTTCTGTTCTTTTATGTTTCAGTGTTTCATTTGAGACCAAGCTCATTGAAATCAAGTAAATTCTGAGTCATAGTGATTGCACTGAACTGCCTCCTAGCGCTCTAAAGGCTACAATACTTGCCTACTAGTGTAGAAGCATACTACTACATCATTCTCCCAGAGTAACTCGTGCCTTTGAACCAGTGACTACAGAGACCCAGCACTTAGCCACTGTACAATGAGGATTCTTTTCATCTGGAAGATTAACCATTATATTAAAATTAGTATATGAATTCATAGTACCAACATTGTGAATTGCAGACAGTTTAAGATCTTAAGAACAAGCTAAGATTTTTTTTTTTGCAATCTTACAGTATCCTTTAATGAATAAGTTTTAGAGTTTTACTAATAACACTTGAAAAAACAAGGTAATAATAGGCATAAAGCATTGGTAATTAATTATATAAAGTATATGTGAATCATAGAAAACACAAAGTTCATGGACAAGACACGATATATATAAATGCTTTTATGCAAACCAATAAAAGTATTTAATTTTTTTTATCTAACATAAGCAGTTTCATTTTCTGAGGGTTTCTTTTCATTTCTGGTAGCTGAAAAGTATTTTAGTTTGCACACAGTTAGATAGCATTATTTCATGGGAACCTGAGCCTCTCACTATATACATGCGCAGCCTGCTAAATAAACACCAATAGCATGTTTATTTAGAGCATAAACTCCACTCCTACTTATAACAAGGGGGAAAAGCATATCAATTATTTCAGTTTTATTAATGGAAATTAAAGAAAATAACTTCCCTTTCCATTTTCTGATAGGAAGAAGCACTGCATGGATTTCGAGTGAGCAATTACTTTGAGTACATGGAGATTCTGGAACAAAACTACAGACCAGTGGTGCTGAGAGACATGCGGAGTATCAGAGGGCAGAGCACATAGGCCCTGGAAACACAGTTTCATTTTCTTTTATCCTTTTTTTAAAGGAAACAAGGGATTTGATTGTTTTCTGTCTGTGTCAATAAAAGCATATGCTTTGTGAATACACATATTGTAAAATCAATGAGAGGTTGATTTTTTTAATATAGTGGTATCAAAAATGCATTAGCTTAATTTCTAACAAAATGTCTGTTATTTTGAAAGGGGTTTTTGGAATTCAGCCTTGCTTACATATACTATCGTTCTTATTTGTATTTAAGAGCTAGTCTTAGCCTTCGTCTCCCTTTTTTCCAGATGATTATATTTTCCAGTTAGTTTGGAAAGAAGTAACATTCTAATTGATTTGGTTAGCCAGAGACACTTCATAGAGACAAAGAAAAGATAAAGCTATTTTCTTCATTATTTATATCTATATATAAAGGAAAAGACACAAACTATAACTGTGTCATATGGTGAAATAAATGATACTTGTGGCAAATGGTGAGAATACTATTGTCTTCAGATATAATTACTTTATAGAATTTGTTTCTGATACCTATATCAAGTTATAATTTTTTATTTGAAATGTAGTCTGCATGGTTCAATTACAAGATAGATGATTATTCTATACCAATAAGCAATCTACTGTCATTTATTATGTGTTTTCCTTAGTTACAGATTTGATTTGTACTGAACATAAAAACATTAAAAAAAGCATTTCCAATTATTTTAAAGCACTAACACTGTTTCATTTGACTAGAAGTCTCTGTAGCACTAAGAATGATACATTATGTGAGGAGCTTTTTTGTGTCATAGTTGTCACATTTAATATATAGCAGATAATACACAAATATATTCATTTCAAGCAACAAATGCTGGCGAGGTTGTGGAGAAACTGGAACCCTGATTCACTGTTGGTGGGAGTGTAAAATGGTACAAGCCCTGTGGAAAGCAGTATGGCGCTTTCTCAAAAAGTTGCAAATAGAGATACCATTTGACCCAGCAATTCCACTACTGGGAATATACCCTGAAGAGA